AGAAACCACTTGATTCTGATAATCTAATGTGATTAGAGTTCAAATAGACAATAAAAAGTTAAAAAAAAAAAAAACACACACAGACATTTGTTTTCCTTTTTCCTTTTTTATTTTTTTTTTCCCCAGTTTGATGTATTATGTGCCAGCTTGTCCCTGTTACTTACCATGAGGAATTCATGGGAATGTAATCTGGTTGTTTTGTAGTAGGATAAATATAAATATATAGGGTAAATTGATAATAAGAACAGGTGTAATCTCGCTAGTTCCCTGTATAATAATAGTAATGCTTTCCTATCTGTACTAGAAATATCTGATACCTTTTAAATAATAGTTGCCCTTTTCATATCTGCATCATGTTGGTGGTACATATGATTAATTGGTCTGCTCAACTCTTTTTGCAGTTTTACTACATCATGTTGATGAACTCCTGTACTGTAGCAGAAATCCTTGCCTATCTGTCACTTCAACATTGCATTGGATACTGTAATGACCTATATCTCGTAACCATTTTTGGTCATTCTTTGTAGGTTTTCCTTGTAGGTGACCCTCCTTGATATTGGCAAGATCTGCCTTGTCTGTATCATCAGCAAAGTGTATACTGATAAAGTCAAAATCTAGGGCAGTACAATCAGTTTGTTTGTTATTTAAATTATTGTGAGAAGTTAAATATCTGCAGAGTTAAATATCTACCTTTTCTAAAAGGTTCTAAATTCAGTTTCATTAAATTAAAAGATTTCTCTTAGAGTGCATATCTAGTTACTCTCTTGCCATTTTCTGTTTCCTTTAAATCAGATAAACTGTTGTTTTCCTATTTATAGATTATCAGATTGCTTTAAATATGACTGTTTAGGAAAGGCTAATAGCATACCAATTGTCAAACTTCGATACCTTAAGTTCTCTCAAATCAGTTCTCTCTTCATTCATCAGGCAGATAAGCCAAGGAACTATTTTTACTATTTACAATGTGAACTATTCATCTGGCTTTTCATTTTCTCAGAAGACTTTCCTCTCACTAGTAGCTGCTTCATACGAACAGATTTTCTGCAGAACAAATTATCTCTAATTGTGATACTGACATTAGTTTCCTTGCAACTTGTTGTGCATTGGTGTGTTATACATATTGATAAAACAAGTTTAAACTGTATATTGTTTCTTTTTCACCTAGAGAGCTTGTAATATGCATAGTAGCATAGAAATTTCATGAAACAGAAGATTTTACTGATGCTAATACAGTGGTTTTCATCATCTGATCATATTTTATCATCATTTATCCTTTTTTTTTTTTTTTTTTTTAGTTGGCCTAATTGCTGAAATACAGATTCTGGATTCTCACAACTTATAACCCTATTAAAAAGTATAGAAGTTCAGAATAATTATTTTGAGACTTATTAAAATCTGTAGTTGCAACATTGTTGTCAGATGTGGACAAGTTTTGCCAAGAATTTGAGCTTTAATCAGCATTATTTGTGGGTGGATGTGAACAACAGAATTTTGTGGGAGTAAGCAGAAAAATCACATTTTTCTCTGTACAGCTGTATAATAGCCACTTTTAAAAGCTAAATAGTAAATACAGAAGGAAAAGGTTTCACAACATAGAATGTAAGAAAATATTTCTGGCTTCCATATTGTGGGAGTTATTATAGAGCACAAAATGCTAAGTAAAAATTACTTGTATGCTTGGATAGCTGATGCCTGAAGAAATGAGATAGAAATCAGAGTCCTTTTCAGACCCATGCCAGTAGCCGTCCACTGATGGCTTTGGAACCAACTGCAAAGTAAGGAGTATACACAGATGCTTTATTATGTAATGCTTGAAATACATGTACCTGTGTTGTGTAGAGATTTTGTTTCAAAATCAAACATTTGTGTCATGTAAAAATATATATATATATATTTTTAAAACCAGAAATCATATTGTCCTTAATGTGTCATCCTATGTATATAAAATGTATAACTGTAAGCAACATTGCTAACTAAAGGTGATATCAAAGGTAATATCTTTTATTGACAAGTTATTGTTACTGGGGAAAAAAAAAAAAATGAACAAGGTTTTGAACGCATAATCTTTCTTCATATCTGGAATGCAAAAAACATGTTTTAAGGGGAAATGAGAGGTAAGAAAAATTGCTCAGACTATGAGAACCTCTTTGAGAAAAAAAAAAAAATAACAACTGTACAGAATAGATGAAATATTAGTAGAAAGAGGAAGAAAAAACATAAGGTGTTCTATTACAAGTAGTTTGAGCAAAACAGTTGCAAGTCTTGATTCAGTAACGTAACAAGGGTGTGTATTTCCATGGAAATAGTTTGTAATTTCGAAACAGTTGTCCAAAGTGCATATAAGGAATGGATTAAAAACAAACAAACAAACAAACAAACAAAAACATAATCTGATAATGACGTTTTTCATTCTACTAATTGTGTATCTTCATTTTCATGCCTAAAGCTTTTCCCCAGGTACAAGTATACGTAGGTTTTGTTTTAAATTTTCTGAAAGTGGAACATTCAATTATTGAAATGCAGTCAAATAATTATGTAAACTATAGAGAAGTTAAAAAAAGAAATATTGAAGGACATCTTATTTTCCTGTTGACAAAGGACAAGAAAAAATTGGATCTTCGTGGTCTTGCTTCTTCATCAAAGCTTTTTTGACCACCTGGCGATTACATGATACAGGATTCACTCTGTAGTGAATAATTTGGTTTCTGAATTAGGCTAGTTACCAGAAGGTTGTAGTTGCTATATCTTCTGTTCTCAGTCACTGGGTGGGCACACTTATTTTACCAGTTTACAAGCATTGTCCGTAGCATGCTCTATGCTCAAGAAATACCTCCTAAAAAAAAAAAATAGTATTGAGAATTTCAATATCTTATTATTATATGTTTTGTAAAGAACTTCTAATGCTTGCTTGGTATAGTTATTTTTGAACTTTCACATGAATTGACCATGGAATATTGACCTTAAAGCATCTGATGAAGGTGTTTTCCATTCTTAAACAAAAAGCCAACAAGCAAAATATACAGAGAAGCCATCATATGTGGTGTTTTGGGTTCTCCTGTAGGAATGTTTAATTATTTTTTTTGTTCCTTCCTCTGTATGGTTCACTACAGGGACTTGATTTCATTCACATTTGTAGGTAAATAGGTATAATGCATTAATTCTTTTTAGTCTGTTGTTAGAAGTTAAAAATCAGTGTATGTGAGAGTATTTAAGTGTGTAATTGGCACTACATCTGCCAATAGTTAGATACTCACAGCAAATATAAAGGACTTATTTTCAAGTACCTCTTCCACTTAAATGTACAAGGAGCAGCTGAGGTCCCTTGGTTTGCTCAGCCCCGAGCAGAGCAGGCTGAGGGGAGGCCTCATGGCAGCCTGCAGCTCCCTCACGAGGGGAGCGGAGGGGCAGGCGCTGAGCTCTGCGCTCTGGGGACAGCGACAGGACTCGAGGGAACTGCATGGAGCTGGGACAGGGGAGGGTCAGGCTGGGGGTTAGGAAAGGTTCTTTGAGAGGATGAACAGACTGGAACAGGTTCCCCAGGGAAGCTGTAACGGCACCAAGCCTGTCAGAAATCAAGAAGTGTTTGGATAATGCTTAGACATACAGTTTGATTTTGGGTGGTCCTGCATGGACCCAGGAGTTGGACTCAATGATGTTGTTCCCTACCAACTTGGGTTATTCTATGATTAATTTTCATAGATGAATCAGTTTCAATGTGAAAGACTGAAGTGGTCCAGTCAGTAGCTAAGATATGCAAGATATTCAGGTCTGCTGAGTCAAGCAGGGAGGAAAATGAATGACAGTGGCAAACAGAGAATGTATGTTGGCTACTTGCTTGACTTCCACAATTCAAGTGAGAATTCTATTCCCAAAAGAAATTCAGGAATCAAGGGCTGGGGATTGGTTTGCTTAACCTGACTAACTTTTCTTTAGGATTTTTTGAGCTTCAACATAGTCTGTGACAAAGCTTGTTGAGTGTGAAGGAGGAAGCACTTACCAAATTCCAAAATATAATCTCACTGCAAAAGTAGGGTGGCAGCTAAGCAGTGTTTCAAGGAAGCGGTTGCCTGAAGTGGTGGATTGGTCTCTCAGGGATTTTGAGGATCTTACTGTGTTCAGAGAAAGTGCCTGGCTGTTGAGCCAAGCTTAGCTATACTCAGAGCTCTAATAGACTGAAAGCAAGTGACTTCTGGTTCTTTCTATCTTTCCTGAGTGTATGTAACATTAGGTTGATTGTATGTAGAAGAAAGAACAAGGAAGAATACTTGGATAGAGTGTGAAATCCCTTACAAAGTCATTATCATGGTATGGTTAACACACTTTCTATTTTAGGAATGGAGGGAGGTTCCTGTTAGGCATAGGTACCTATTTTTCTTTACCTGTTTTCACAGTAGAGACACATGGAATTTCTTTAGAATTCTGTTCCTGATATCAGTAGTAAATAAATTTAGGTCAATATCCTAGGAAGTTGCAGATTCAGTATAAATACGGATAATTGTGTGATGCTGGATATTTTTTGGTTTCAGGATTCTTTCTTATTTGTTCTCGTAAATGCCCAAGTGAAAACATAAAGATCAGATATTTCTGAAGTAAACAGAACGTTATTCTTAAAATAGCCATTTTAATTTGTGTGGGCGACTTGCAAAGTAAGGTGTATAAGCGAGAATATCAGAATCTGGTGCTGACTTACCAGAAAGCTTTCAATTGCTGATTTCAGATATTTGAACCTCTAGTGCCATTGAAACAAATGAGTCAAGTGTCAACTCTTCAGAAAATATGTGGGAGAGTATTAATTTTCATTCTGATCTTTAATATTTCTGTATTTTGTTTATCTGGTGATAAACCATATTGGCGACTTAATATTATTCTGCAGTGATACAAACTCAATTATTATTTTCTAAACATACTTGTGTAGATGGCAGTAATTATCCATCAGGCTGATCATGTTGTACTAGTTTTGTAAAATTGTATTTATTTGACTATTTATTTTGTATTTTCAGGTAGAGATTGAGAAGCTGGACTATCATTATTATCTGCCTTTGTTTTTTGATGGGCTTTGTGAAATGACATTTCCATGTGAGTTTTTTGCACGTCAAGGAATCCATGACATGCTGGAACATGGTGGAAACAAGATTCTTCCTGTCATTCCTCAGCTCATTATCCCGATAAAAAGTAGGTGAAGATATGTGGAAAATAAAAACAAACAACATAAAAATAAGAAACTAAAATTGCACTTATATGTTGTAGATTTTTGACAAGTTGCTAATTAAGCAATAAAATATGGCAGGCCATACATACAATCCAAACCTGAGTAAATTGTAAGGTATAAGGCCAGAAGGTTTATGCCTTCGATCACCTGGTAGGTGCAGTACTCCAGAAAATTGGACTGCTTGGTGAGTTTTTTTATTATTGCAGTGCGGCTCTTTATTTTCTGAAATTTGAAGTGACATTTTCTTACCTAAGTTTTATATATTTATTATGCAAATCAATTATTGTATAAAACAGTTCATCTGAAATGGCAGGTGAAATTACCAGATGAAATTTAGAGGATTATGTTTCTTTTTTTCCTTTTGTTTATTCTACAGTGGTATTATTATATTTATTCTCTAGATCTCTTTTCTATCATCATTATCGTTACTTCCCATCTACATATATATATATATATATATAAAAATAAACTGAGAGTTCTGTCTGACTCATGAATGCCGTAGGTAAAATTTTGGCATTCAATATTAATTATATTATTAATTAATTAAATATAATTTTTAAAGTTTTTGTATTCAAGCCTTTTTTGTTGAAAGATTATGTGAAAGATAATAAATTTTGTAAGTACAGGTGTAATACTACTAAGACTAAAATTTATTTTATTGAAATACCTATTCTTTCCTCTTTCTTTAACTTAGTTCCTTCAGTAGATATTCTGAACCATCATCCTTCTCTAGTTTTATGAATCTTAAATTTAAGTGTTACACCTATATTAGTAAATTAAACAGTGTCATGGTGCACTCTTGGGAGTGGGAACATGATAGTGTTAATTTCTTAGAAATGGAGTTTCAGTTCATGCTAATTTGCCCTCTCCTGAAAAATTCTTGGACATAGGCCAGGACCATTCCCAATAGGCAGTTTTGATGCAGCCACCTTTTTCTTTTTTAAAGGGGGGAGATTATGGAAGTTTAATAGGTCAGCTAATGTTAATCTGTGCCAGCTGGCTTCCGTTTAATTTTTCAATTGTAAACCATATAATCCAGTCCTAAAAAGCTCATATTTATTAAACTTGGCTTATATTTTGTGGTTGATCAGTAATGATATCATTGCTGTCCTCTGGCCTATTTTCTGGGAATGATTCAGCATCCATGCTAATACAGAACAAAATGGAGTCATTGTGTTTGTGATACAGAATGAATAGTCAAACACAATTTTGGAAAAGGGGAAAAGGAATATCGTTTGGAGCCTTATGATACCAGTGTACTACTGGAAAGATCGGAATTATTGTTGTTTGTTTCATTCACTTTATTATCCTTTTAAAAAGATCAATTAGAGATGTCATTATCTGTATCTTACTGTAGATTTTGAAAATGTCAAAAAGTGTATGTAATATTCAGTAATGGTTACTCTGTAAGTGACGCTTGTGAAAGGTTATGAAAAGAACATTACAAGTATTTTCTCTCAAAAGGGGGAATATATAAAGAGGGGAATCATGGCATTTCTTTAAATCTGTATTTTCAACACCATCCAAATTTATTTATAACAGTATCACTCTTTTTGAAAGCTGAAATAGTTTCTTCAGAAAAAAACTGCAAGTTTATGACAGCAGCTCCACACTTAGGATTTAAAAGTCTTCCTGAGACTAGAATCTAGCTTCAAAATAATTACCTAGAAGCTTTAGCTGTTACACAGCTTTTACCATTAGAAAAAGACTGCTAGGTAACAATATTTATATGGGTTTGATATATAGACTTTTAAATTGAATCAGAATTTAAGATGCTGAAACCTATTCAAGAATCTGCTGAAACCTATTCAAGAATCTGCTAGCTAAATTTAGTTGTTGGCTCTGTTTTATTTTATTGTACTCCACTTATTTTTCATTAAAAAAAAAAAACTTTTGTATTGGCTTTAATAAGTGAAGAGTCTAAATATTATTAATGACAAAGGCTTCTTCCTAACTAAATGCATATTAATATTTTAAAAAGACACCACCACCTAAGGAATCTGAGTGTGTACCTCTAAGAGTGTTTTAAATTCACTATGCCCATGTAATATAGCAGTGTAGTCAGAGCTGTATATTTTTGTGACTCAGCTGCATCCACAATAAGCTCAGCTATGTTTTACACATATTACTGTTACCAAAGTGTCCCTCTGGGTGAGTTATATCTGATTAACCAGTCTTCTTTTAGACCACTACCATATTTCTACTGTGGAAGTGTGAATCAATTGATTGTTAGGCATCGTAATATATATGATGGAGAGGAAAGGGATAAAAGAAAGACAGAAAAATAACTCTGCAAATGGAATGCTTTTAAAAGCATTTTTTTCTCCTGCATGTGCATCAAAGGGACATATTAGTGAAGGGCTGCTCTCCAAAACATTCTAAATTAAATATTAGAATTCTTTTTTATATTTTAGTGATTTATGGAGAAATCTGCCCTCCTGCCCAAGACACTTGTTTTTGCTAAAACTTCAGACTTTTTGAAAACTATATCTTAAAGATTAAAATAAAATTATTTAATCAATCTGGGGGTTACTATAAGCTAACTGTTTCTACAGATTTTCTTCTAAATAAGCAAAGAGGCAATGACTAACAAAAGAGAGATAATTGAAATTAACAGATAAAACTTCTTTTCTAAAAAACACACAAAATACGATTGGCATGAATGCTATTTAGTTGTAACATAATTGCTTGTTTTTATTTGTGACATGGGAAGACTTTTTTTTTTAACTCATAGAAAGAAAAAAAAATCAGAAATACTGATTTTTCAAAAATAAAACTATTCAAATAATAAAATAAAAATAATAATAAAAATATTTTGGTTTCTCAAAATAAAAATTAAAAATATACTTTACTTTGATTTTACTTTGCAGTGGCAAGGCATGATACAATAGTTTACAAATACAGTCATTGTATGACATAAAAATAGGAAAAACAAATTACCTGTAATGTCAGGCCTGTAAGGAAACCAACTGAAAAATAAAAAATGCAAAATTAGAAAATGTAAATAGGTCAAGATGTTAAAACTTTTAATTCGCTTTCACAAATAGCATTCGCAAATCTATTGCATGAGTTATTTAAACAAGAACAGAGTCCCCTAATACGAGGTATTCTGCAAATACCAAAAAGATGTAGAGGTATTCTAAAAGTTCTGATGCATAACACACAGTATCTTCTCCCTTGCCAAGAAGATCTGTACTGTGCTTTTCATAGGAAGGAGACAAGGAAGGAGGCTAATTTTGCCCCACATCAAAAACTGCATCTCTGGCAGAAGGCAGAATAAAACCCAGGTACATATCTCTGGAGTGGCAAGCAGAACTGCCTGCAAGACTTATTTTGTTCTCTTATTTTTAGGCCACAGAAAGTGGCCCCCACTAACTCTTTCAATAATGCATTGATTTATCTTAAAACTGACTTGTGGCCTAAACTATAGACAGCCAAGAATAGCCAGAAAAAAGGGTGTGGGGGTGAGAGAAAAAAAGAACACTATTTGCTTACCAATTAAATAATCCAGTTCTATATTCTGTACAGCCATAAGGAGAATGTAAAATTATTTTTGACCCCTTTTTTTGGAGACAAATTTCTATTAATATTACATTTGCCATGACAGATGCCAGATCAGAAAGGCCGTAATTCCTTTCGTTTGCTATCATTAGGTTTCTGGATCTCTGAGGTTCCTGACTGCAGAATTCACCAGGTTTGACATGAGACACACAGGCAAAAACACACACTGAAGTTGCTACCCCTGGTACCAGTCTTGTATTTCTGTGAACAGTATAAGGGACATCCAACACAGTGTGTGGAAGCACCTGGTTTCCTTTCAGAGGCACCCATTTCTCTTCATCAGCAGCAAGCATTTACTTTTTCTTTGTTGGCACATAGTTGTAAGAGCTTCCAACCCCTTCACATAAAGCAACCAATTGTTCCACCTCCCACTCCAGTTCCTTGCAATTGACTATTGCTAATGTAATTGTTTTTCAGTGAAGTTACTTTTCAACTTGGATGATTTCAGTGTTCTAGTTTATAGCTGCACTATCAAAAATGAAGGAACAGTAGACAATAACACAGAAGTTGGAATAAATAAGTAGAGATGATTGGTTAGTAGGAACATCGAAAAATTTTTGCCAATGAAGAAAATCATGTGAAATTAGACAATTAGGAATCGTGGATCACCAATTGTCAGAATCTTTTCTCTTCTGTGCTGTGAATCCTAACAAAATCTGAGTTTAAGCCTAGAAGCCAATAAAGCTCACGTCTTTGCACATGAAATGTTACTTAGAAGTATTGTTTCTATGGAAGTATTGTTCCTACACAGTGCAGACCAGCATTTCTGCTTTAGTCCAAAAAGAGCAATCTCTGTCCTAAAGGACATGGAAGCTTTTCTTTCTGATTTTTTTTTTTCCATATTTCTCTCCTGTAGTCTCTGTCATTCACTACAAGTGATTGTAATTAGGTTTATGTTAGATTCTGAAAGTCAAGACTGGTCACCTCAGGTGATTTCAAATCACACAAACTGGATTCCTTGTTACTCGTCTTTACTACTGTCTTTGAGGAGAAACTCTGTTTCTCATTCAGTAGAAATAAATGTCATCAATGTTTGGAAAGTGAACTTTGCAATTAGCTTCTTTCAGTTTTTAAGTTAGAGTTAGTTCTCTCCTGGAACATCGTATTTATTAAGACTGGATTTCACCTGCCATTTTATCACCCAGACATTCAGTACTATAAGTCCTTCTGCAGCCCTTTGACATCTGGAATAACTTCATTATCATCAGAAAGCTTTGTCACTCATTAGTGACCATCTCTTCCAAATCACCTGTGATGTAGCTGGAAGGTGCAAACTTCAGCACAGATTCATCCTCTGTGGCCATTTATTGTTACCCTCATTTCCTATCTCTAGGATATTTATATGATTTATATGAAAAATATGGCAAAATTCATCAATGACAGGCCTTATCAAATAATTTTT